TGTTGAGCTTGTGCTGCTTAATGTTGGTAATTAAACCACTGAGGAAGCACCCAAGATAGTGCAATCTGCATCTGTAATATGGCTCAGGAGTTCTATTCTGGTTTTGTTTGTTTGTTTTGGTTCTTTCTTTTTTTTTTTTTTCACCACTGACTTGTGCAAGGACTTCTTAAATCTGTTTTAAGCAGTGTTAGATGACTGAGTTGCATTTTGGTTTATTTGATTTTCAGAGTTTCTTTCAGGATGTCAGACTTGGTCTAGAATAGAAACAAGTAACATACAACTTTTCATGAAATATTAACCAAAAATGGTTCAGGCCAGTGGAGCCTCTGCATAGAAGTTTGAGCGCATGTCTTGGCTTGCCCAGCTTTGCTTACTTTTGGAAGCATTTTCCCACAGTTATCAGTGAACGGAATGGAGTCCTGGTCTGCTTTGAATATGAAACATATTTAGGCTATACAGCAAGCCAGTGTCCATCACAAATGGGTTTTCATTCAGAGCCTCATGCTGTGTCCAGTCGTGAGAAAGCAGTCTGCTCCAGCTCTTGTTCTCTTTTTTCTTTTTTTTTTTCCCCTCCTTTTTTTGTTTCCTCTGCTCTTCAGAAATCTGAGGTCTGCCTTACCCCCGTGCACCTTGTAGCAGCTCACTCTCGGAAGTGTATTTTGGTCTCTGTTACAGAGAGGCACTGCAGACCACAAATGAGCAGCCTGTGACTGAACATGGACACAATTAAGGAGAAATAAACCTTGCAATGCACAGTTGCTATGGCAAAGCATCAAAACTCTTCACGGAATTTTTATTTGCAGTATTATTGTTCTGCTCTCCAGATAGATGTTACATTTGTTGCCTTCCTGTAGTTATTATCATATTTTTTACTTTTCAAGTAATATTTTTTGCTTATTTTTCCTCAGCTTCCCCCCCGCCCCGTTCTGGAGAGGAGGTGTTTTGTTTTGGTTTTTAATCATTGTGTAAGTTTGGATGTGGCTGGCTAAATGGCAACTTTGAAAGATACAGCCTGGATAATAATATCTCGGGTAGAGCTGGAGGAGGAGGAGATGTTTTAATGGGTCTTGTTCTCAAGTTAGGATTGAAGATAAAGGTGGCTTAGATGTAATAGCTGGCATGTTTCCAGCCCATGGAGTCACTTCAGTCAGTTTATGCTTATGATTATTATTGCTGGAGTGCTACAGAGCTCATTGGCAGCTTGGAGCATCTGTAGAAGGGACACGGGCGGAGAGTGCAGCTTCCCTTTCCCTGCTCTTCCAAGGAGGCTGATCTTAGCCTTTGTTGTACAATGCTTCTCTCTCACCCCACCCCCTTCCATATCCATCAGTCCTTCCCTCCGTTACCTGATACTTGTGGGAGCTGCGATGGCCCTCGTGCAGACAAAGCTTTCAAAGGGGGTGCTGAAAAGCAAAGTCCCTGGAGACTGCGCTGTCAAGGCAGGGCACAGTAATCTTAGCAACACTTCTTGCTTTCAGGATGGCTGGGGGAAGGGACATCGAGACTATTTTTCCGTAACTAAAATTCTTTTGAAGCGGTTTTTGAGAGTGGGGGTTTGGTTTGGGGTTTTTTGATGCTGCTGTGCTATCCCGGTGCTTTCTGTCTTCCATGTGCAATTGTCCCACATGCTTCATTTCGGCTGGAGTGCAGTGTCAAAGGCTGCACTTCCTGGTTAAGTACATAAGATGCTTTAATGGTAGCAAAGATGAGCTATCCAAGGTGAAAGGTCTTCTAAGTCAGACTGGATAAGGTAGCTTAGGGGGTTTCAAGAAGATCATGTTTGTCTCAAGCATAATCTTTTACCTATTTCTGTGTTCAAGTATCTGCTTTGGGGTAGAGACCAGAATTTTTCTTTTTAATTAAAATTGTTGGCAGGTTTTTTCCTTTACCTTAGTCATGTGTGGCTTTGAAACTAACTTTTATTTCTCTTTTGCAGAGATCCTACACATTGCTTGTTGAGGCGTGGGATTACAATGATAACTCCACAAGTAAGTATTCCTTCCTCTGGCTTATTTAGTTCTGACACCTCTGTGTCCTGGGCACTGAAAGGCCTCTGGGAGCCTCACCAGCTTGCTGTGAGTTAGAGCACAAGGAGAGGGAAAAGCTCTCCCCCAAACAGCTTGGAGCAGTTCTCCAGGCTCTGCAGCAGCCTGTCTCACTCACATTGTCTGCAGAGGGTGAGTAGCTTGCTCACCTAGGCACCAACAGTGTGATGCCTAAAAATAGATGCAGTTAATTCCTTCTTTCTCCTCTGGGAGAGTAAAAGCCAAAGGATTTCTTCAGGTTTCTTTGTTTGATTTTTTTGGTCTCATTTTGTTCTTTTTAATTAGGACCAATATTCAGAAGCCCAAGTCTTGTTCACCTGACACCTCTCTATAAACTAAGCGCTTCTCAAAACTGAATGTACTGCTTTAAAGAAAGAAAACAACTTAAAATCTGCATAAGACTTGATATCCGTATCCATCTAATGACTGTAGATGAGAAAGAGGAGTTACTACAAGCTCTTCCTTGGGACTTGCATGTCTGGGGGTTTATATGCAGGGGCTGAAAAAGTATTTACCAGATGCCACCTGGTAGGGCTGGCTGAAAATCAAGGGTGGGGATCTTTCCCCTGGAATGTCTCTGGTTGGTTTCAGAACCATTCTGCTCAGCTTTTCCTGTGGCTAGAGGAAGCTGCACAGGGTCTCTTGGCACATGAGCTGCTCTGCTTTTTGCCTGCTGTTACTGAAGGAGGTGGACAAAATCAGCTCTATTTCAACGTAGGGCTTTAACAGCGTGTGTGTGGTAAAAGCCCCAGGAGAGAGTGTGAATCTCATCACATAAAGCTGTTGTTGACACAACAGGCCTTTTCCTTCAGCAAGGAAGCAGCAGCACTGTGGTCCATCTTACAGAAATCTTACAGCAGCTTCTTGTGCTCTGCTTTGGAGTGCCAAGGTGGCAGCCATGCAGGAACGAAATGGGCTTCAAGCCTCGTGAGAGAAAGGCCTTGGAGAAGTGTGCACAGTGCTGTGCTTTTGTGTTTTAATTGGTGAGGAGTGCATAGCTTGGGAACTGCTCCGTGTAGATCTGCTCCTTGTATTTTTTTAAATGTACATGGGATGTCCTGTTAATTCTTCATTCCAGAAAAGCAGTTGTTGCTTGAACTAAATCATGTGGTATGTTGGGGTAGCCACACCAGCCTCATACAGCACTGCTGCAGTACCTGCAGTGATTTCAGACTCTATCCCAGCACAGTCATGGAGCAGTGGCTGCTGGATTTCTTGGATATAGAGTGTTATATGGAGGAGAAGAAAGTAGATGCTGCAGCAGCAGTGAAATATTAAACATGGAAGATGCCTGAATTCAAAATGAAATTCTTGTTTATAGTAGGATCTGGGAGTTGTTTCAGACTGGGTCTCTGCCACTTTTACTATTATTAGAGCTCATCTTTTTTCATGAAACAACTTCATTTCCAAAGCTACACAATGAACCCTTTCTTTGCTTTCATGTTCTGGAAGTACAATTGTCTTCAGACAAAATTGCCTCATTTCTCAGCAGTGCGTTTGACCAAGTACAGACATGCTCTTGCATATGTTCCTGATCTGCATTCCTGCTCCAGCTTTGCTGTCACTTACCCATCTGTAGGTCACTCCAGTCGCTGCACTGCACAAAACTTCTCCTTTGTGCTCATGGCTTGACTTAGTCAGCTGCAGAGTAAGGCTTGAAGAACTAGTTAAGAAAACAATTAGAACTAAACAATTGTCATCATATAATGAGAAGAGAGGGGTTTTTTGATGTCCAGGATTTTCTTTTGCCACTGAATCGTAAAGATCCTGTGAGAGCTCTCAACAATAAAAGTGGGTTTAGTGGCCTTGTGTGGCTTTTCAATAGCTTTGAAAGCATCTTCTGATCAATGCAGTTGTTAGAAGATCCTCGAGTGGATGCTTCCTTCCCCCCTCTACATTCCACTCCTCCTACGTTCGCTTTACCACATATTCTCTCTTGTCTCACTTCCAGGAGTGGCTTGCAGTTAAATTCTGGCCCTGTTGAAGTTGATGAGAATTGTGCTTTGTTGGAGCCAAGATTCAACTCAAATGGTTTTCTTACTCTGCTTCTTGTCTGGTTGCCATCTTGCTACTGTTGCTTCATACATAAAGCTAATGGGCTGACATTGCATCTCAAACTGTGTCAAAGAGCTATTGTAAATTACTGGTATCAGTTGCATGTGAATTCCAGGCGGGCATAAGAGACTTCACAATGTAAACCAAGCCGTGGCTGGAAGTTGTCTGAAACAAAGACTTTCAAAAATAACTGTGCTGTCCTTGGCCACCCAAACTGCTCAGAGAAGTCTGGGCTTTTTCTGTTGTTGTTTTTGCTTCCTGATGCTGCATAGTTCTAATTTCCAGACGTTGGTGCACTGAAAGGCAAAGGTGGGCAGTCAAAATAGCTCATTTCCTTGTGTCTAAAACCTTTTGATACAGTTGCCCACTGAATAAAAAGAGGGATTTAGAGCTTTGAAGTGTAGCCACAAGAAGTGAATAACGCCAACAGAGTCTCTGACAGTGAAGTGCGGAGCGGAAGCCCGAGATGTCCAGAAAGCCTCTCTCTTCCACTTCATCAATTTCTAATGGGTTAATGCTTGCTCTAACCTTTCTATCAAAGCATGGGGTTCTGAGTCAGATGAAGGCAGTGGAGTTCAGAAGATCCCTTTGTCTCAAGCCTGGCTGACTGCTGCTTTTTATTTACTTAACCATTCTGCTGTGTTGGGTTTGCTTCCTATAAAACTGAAACGGTGGCTGGTGCGGGCTAAGAATGGCAGGGTTGCTGCAATGCCTCCCCTGGAGTCTGGGTCAGCACCCTTGTGTAAGTGCACACTGACAGGCGGGAATAGGCGAGGGTGGAGGAGCTCTTGTACAAGAAGGAACATGCCAGCGCTTCATTGTGAAAACTGTGGGTGATGGCTAATGGAAAGGGAGCTCAAACCTGAGAGACCGCGCTTGAATTCAGGTGGATGGGGGTACCTTTAAAATGTGTATCCAATGGAAGAATTTTATCCATGATCCAGAGGGGAAACTGCAGCTGCGTTTCATCTGAGCACCTGCAAAAAAAAAAAAAAAAAACCAAAACAAAGTCCAGTGGACTTAAAAGGGTGTTTCTATTTGAGTTTAGGCTGTGGTTAAGGTCTCCAGAGAGCTGATGGCTGGAGTGAGAGGTCATAGATGTACAGCAAGGACAAGCTTCCTGATGAGCTGGCAGATAGGAGAAGAGTGAAAGAGCAGAGGCAGAAGGAAAGACCACTTTTTCAAGGCAACTCCCTTTCTGGTGCCAAGGACTGAAATATAGTTGTCAGTGGTATGTTCCCAAGGGGGAACAGGAAGAGACTGGAAAAGCAAGAATGAGTGTGGGGGTGGAGGTGGGGGGGCTGGCTTGCAAAACTAAATTGAGTGTCGTTCTCCTTTTCTTCTGCCACTTACAGGAGAGGATAAAGTTGTTCTACTCACAAGGAGCAGGATGTCTTTATGCACACTTGGTGTTTGGGGAAGTGCCTTTGCTTTCCAGCTGTGCTGTGGATGGAGTGTAATCTTGGCAAGTGCAGCAGAGCCATCTCCAGCACGCATGAGTGGAACTGTAATTGCCAGACTAGCCCCATTCAGGAGGAGCAGATACGCATCTGCTTAAGTACCTCTTAGAATTAGTCAATAATCTTGCTGATGAGATCTAAGAGCCTTACACCTGCGCGGCACAGAGTGTGATATTGCTCTGGATGTACCAGTATGGAAAGGTCCTTAGGCATCCACATTACCTGTGAATGGGATTTAAATTAATAAAGGCCTGCCTGCATTTCAAAGTCTGACACATAGTTGTGGAGTTGGGGGCTTAGTGCCAGTGAATAATAAAAACTGATTTAAATGGAAAAATATTATAGAACCAGAAATACCAGAAGGTGAATAAGAAGTTGTTGCCCTTAATTTCACACTGTAAACACATAATGAATGCTGTAGTCTCAAGTCACAAATACCCCCAAAAATGGGCAGATGCTCACAACCTCTGAGTATTGACACTCTGGTGTGGCTGTGCAGCAAGAGCTTTGACTTCATTCCAAACTGCAGACAAGCAGGCAGGACCTAGTGGTGGATCCATAATGGGTATCTGAGGCTTGAAAAGCCTGTCAGAAAGTTCTTTTCTGAAAACTGCAAATCAAAGGTCCTTAGGAATACATTTTAAAGTATCTTGGATTAAAAACTGCCCATGTGTCATCTTACGGCTTTAGTAGCGACTTCATTAGTCTTCAGCTCTGCCTTGTGTAAAATCCCAGAAGGTTCTTTTGTACTTGTTGGAAGAACAAGCAGCACATCAGTACATTTTAATTCTTAACACTCAGAGGTGCCAGTACTTCACATGCTTCTAACACATTGCTGGCAAACTGCCTTCCTACCTCAAATTCTCCTGTCACTGGATTATGCTCCCATGTACTCACTGCTGGTTTTCAACTCTGTCTGCGAGGATATTTTGGCTGTTTTACGATAAACTTTCACTCAGCAGTCAAGTGCTGGGTAGCAGCAGGTCGTAAGGCAGTGTCAGATCGTTTAAGTCACAAGACCTAGACTACAAAGTGAAATACCACAGATATATACAATGTTCCAAGCAAATGTGAAATATTATTATTTCAAGCCATAATTTAGACAGTTGTATGGCTCTGAAAGCCAGAAGACTTTTGCTAGAACTAAATGTCAAGTGCAAACCTAAACTTTGAAATGCTCTGTAGAGAGGAAGGGGATCTATAGCACATATATGCAGTAGTTTGAGTCTTCTGCTTTGAGCTCTGGTCGTCTTGACTTTGTACTCTCAGCTGCTGTCTGAAGACAGGACTTCCATGGTATTTCTCAGCCAAAATCCGGGGTGATTGCAGATGTCGTCTGAATGCTGGAGTTGGTAGTTTTCAACTTAGTGTTTGCACATATGGAAAAGGCTGCAGACCTTTTGCAGTGCCTGTGTTCAGCCTGTAGACATGGCTTTATTAGGTTATTGTAGTATGTTGTTTTTGTAAATGCTCCAGTTGAAAACAGAACTAGTGCCATTAATGCAGGAGCAGGGGAAAACACATTTTGTACCAGTCTGTTGGAGCTGAATTTTCTTTTCTTTACTTGTGAATTGTATGAATTCTTAGTGGATGCCCTTGCACTGCAGAAGGGGTAAAGGATGGGCAGTAGCTGAACAGTCCCTTTGGATTTCAGGCTTGGTTCAGTTCGATAATGCTGCGTGCGTGTTTCAGTTAATGGCTTGTAGCTCCAGGGCAGCCTTATCTGACTGTCTGAAACAGAAAGTTAATAAAACCAACTGGCTGCCTCAGAGAGTCTTGCCTGTGAAGCTGGAGAGCTGTGATGTGGGAGTCAATGACGAGACCTGAAGGGAGGTTTAACCCTGCCATCTCCTGTGCCTGCAGACCCCGACCGCATCATTGAGAAGGCCTCCCACTCCGGCATGATCAATCCCAGCCGCCAGTGGCAGACCCTCAAACACAACGCGGGGGTCGCGCACTTCGAGTACCAGATCCGCGTGACGTGCGCGGAGCATTACTACGGCTTCGGCTGCAACAAGTTCTGCCGCCCCAGAGACGACTTCTTCACTCACCACACCTGCGACCAGAACGGCAACAAGACCTGCTTGGAAGGCTGGATGGGACCAGAGTGCAACAAAGGTTTGTGACAAACGCTCAGCCTGCGGGCCAGTGGGATGGGAGGGATTGGAGGGCAGCCTGTCCAGGCTGCGTTCAGTGGTCAGACTGTGCAGAGGGGGGCTAAGGACTGATGGGACCGTGACCAGATCTTTACAGGGAGAGCTGGGGGCAGGAGAAGAGTAGTTTCTGCCTTGCCTTAAAGTCTTGGAGAGAGAACTGGGCACTTAGCAGATGTGTTCTTTCTCTGATTATCCGCATCTTTGCCCTTGGGAAGAAAACCCAGCCCACTGACTTCAATGGGAGTTCTGCTGCTGACTTCAAAAAGGATTTCCCCTTTGGTGCAGAACTTCAAGACAAGCAGGAAGGAGAGACTTGTTTTAGAGCTGACCTGGCAAGTGTAAAGCTTTGGTGTTTGAAAAGTCCCAGGCTTGTTTGTTCCACCTGAGATCATGTTCAACATGTTTACTAGGGAATGGCTGCTACCTAGGCAATTGGGGGAGGAGAAAGCAGGACGTAGGAACAGACTATCAGCCTGTCTTAATGACTGAGTTTACCTGCAATTTGAATTGTTGCTCATCTTGATATCCTGTCTGTTCAGAGATACAGCCAGAACTAAATCCACGGTAGTTAAAAGCTGCTTTGAATTAGGTGTAAAGCCAGGGAGAGTGGCCCAGATCACCTGCAAAAGACAGAGAAAGGAAACCTGTAGACTCCAAGTGACCTGAGCTCTGCAAGGCACGATGGTTTCTCCCACATGAAAACAGCTCTTTGAACAGCACTAGGAACAATTCCTCTGCACAGTCAGAGGAACAGATTTCCTATAGAAAGGAAAAGCTGATAGATTTCCTATCCCAGGGAGACACCTACCTTGGTTTTCCTTCCGGTAGACTTGATAGGAGATACTGGTTAAAACCTTGGATTCAGCAGGATTACAGTGCTGGTTAGAGATTAGAACGTTCCCACGAGTGTGAAGGCGCCGGAAGCGGGCAGTGTGCTGATACTCTTCTTTTTTGTTGTTTTAACAGCTATTTGTCGTCAGGGATGTAGCCCCAAGCATGGTTCTTGCACAATTCCAGGAGAGTGCAGGTAAATGCTTCCTATCTCTCCTTGCTTTCCCCCCACCCCTCCCCAGCTAATTAAACAAGTGATGCTAAACACAATAGGACTGGGGAGGGAGGGCATTTTGGAAGTTGTGGTTTTGAGCAAGACACATTATTCATGCTGACTTGCCCAGAATAAGGGGGGAGCAGGCTTTTAATGCACTGATAATTTTAAGAAGCTTTTGGTTTGTGAAGTGGTGGCATTGAGGGAGAGGGGGCTATGGGATAAATGCTGCCTAATGAGCACTAACTAATTGTTTCTGCATAAATAGTGCAAATGTTTGGTGGCTATGTTTTTTCTGGCAGCCTGATTAATAGGTTTTTCTTCAATTGAAGTACAGTGTGGTTTTTCTGTCTTCTTCTCCCTTTCAGTGTTTCCCCCTTCTCCCCTCCCACCCCCTGGTTTCTTCCATCAGTAGGCAAAAGTCAAGCATTCTTTAGAATGGGATTAGTTAAATCTCTGGGTTCCTTTCCCATTGTGAGCCTGGCTCCGAGTGCTGAGAGGTTAATGGCTGGGATGAAATCTTGTCAGTGGGCTCTGATGAATGCCGAATTTTGTTGCCGTGCTTTGAAGTCCCTTCTGTCCTGGCAAGGAGACAATGGAAAGCAGATTTTATCCATAACCCGACAATTAAATATCTGGAATGCCTTAAAATATGCAGCACATATTTACAGCACAGGGAAGTCTTGTCTCCTACCCTTAGAGGGGTAGTGGATACTAAATGTGGGTATTCTTTATCAACAGGCAGGTTCCAAGTTACTGCATGTAACCCTTTATCATTTCTGTTTACAACTGAGAGCTTCTGAGGTTACAAAAATGTTCATATTGATCGTGTGTAGGAAGGGTTAAAAGTGGAGTTTGAGTATTCCTGAATAAGACTCAGAAGTCTGAAGGAATAGAAAGTAATTTTTCTGCCTAACAAGCATATTGGTGGATCCTCTGTTGCTGGAAACCTTTGCATGAAGTGGACTGCAGTTACAACAGGAACTGAATCTGGAGTGTCTGACAGACTATTCTATAAGAATTCAGCCTAAACAGCTGTAGTGGCTCATTCATTTTCTCTGCTTCTGAAATTCATGCTTCAAAACAACAACAACAAAAAAAAATTACCAAGGAACCATCTGAAAGTGAGGTAGGAAGTAACCTCTCATCCTCACAGAGCTGTGGCAAAGTGGAAGTCCAGCCAGGGGATGGACTGTTGTCACTTGTCCTGTGATTTCAATGTTCAGCATCACTGATACAAGCTGGTTAACCCCCAGAACACCAAATCTAAATCTTTTTTAATTAAAAAAAAAGCCTAACAAGTAGTAGGAAGTATGGGGGGGCCAGATGGTGAGAGGAGCATATCAGTCAGGGCTACCAGTGATTTGTGCTGCTGTCATCAGAATAAACATGCCTTGTAGGGGTTGCTGTCTCCTAGTCAGAACAACAGGCTTTGTTTCCAGATTTTTTTCTTCCCTTTCTCTTTCTAAGTCTGTTGCCTCCCACTCACTGCCCAGACATGCACTAGTGCTCTTATTTACTTAAGGTGCAACTTTCCCACACTTGATTTGCATAGTCTTGAAACAATGCTGTCCTTCTGGTGCCTTCAGATAACTTCTGCTTGCCAAGTTAGACCACTATCTTTAAAGTGAACACAGAAACAAGATTTTATTTTCTTTTAAGTTTTGATGAGTCATATAGCCTGTATGCTACAAATGCAACAGGGTTTAAAAATAACATCCGAGCAGAAACTGCTCTGTGTTCTGGTACAACAGACAACTTGCAACGTTCTTAAAATATCCTTTTCCCTTTCGCTGCCAGTCACTTTCTTCAATGCAGGCCGGCCAACTAAACCATTTTTCACTCATGAATCACTGTACAAGGAAAGTTGACTTTAAATTTCTCATGAGAAACTGCTGCATACATATTATAAAACACGAGTTATTACTGTGAATAGTTTTCTGGAATTGATATGCCACTTTTTTTTTTTCCCCCTAAATGCCCATAGCCTTACCCAGTTTTGTTGGTTATGTTTTGAAGCTGATGTTTGAAGTAGTACCTTTGGCTCTAAAGCTCATGATTTATTTTTTTTTCCCCTGTGTGGTATGGGGTTTTAAAATTATTTTGCTTTCTTTACACTTATTCTAAAGAAAACAAAACCCACCACCACTTTGATTTGATGGGAGTAAAATCAATCCTCAATTTAGATACCTGCTTTTGCAGGTGAGGTCCCTTAGTTTGGCTTGCATGCAAGCTCACAGGCAAGTTGCTTTGAATGCAATACAAATTAAAATTTTGATCTTTGTGCATTCTCGTTATATGCCCTGTACAGAAAGATTTTCCAAGAGCTACTGGAAGGAGGTTGTTTTGTCTTATCTGGGTTTTTTCCATGTTCTTTGCCCTGACTGGCTTTTTTTAACACACACACTAATAAGAATTTCCCATTGACTTTGAAAAGGCTGCTATTGTGATAGCTATTAAAGAAAAAAAAGTTAATTAGGATGCAGTTTGTCACCTGAGATTTTTAGAAGGGAAGTCGGACTTACCACTGGCTGTGTGTGATTATCCATTGGATAGATCCTTCTGGCTTTTTCCCATGAGAAGAAATTGCCAGCAAAAGAATGGTGGGGGGTTTTACAAATAGAAAGCTTAGCTGACTTCTGTAGAGCTGAGGTTTGTTTTCATAATTTAGTGACAGCTTAGTGCATAATTGCTGCTGATCAATTATTCTCAGGACCTGTTAATGAAATACAGTACCTCAGAAAGCCTTTGCTTTTAATTTTCAACTTGTTTTGCTTGTTCCTATCTATAGATCCACTTTAATCTGAAGGATCCTTGGTCTGTCTTGCTAGTGAGAACTAAATGAAAGCCAAAATAAGCTTTCCCTTAAGGGGGCTTTACTTTAAAAGAACATCTTCCTTTTAAGTAGAGAGTTCAGGTAGCTCATTGATGGTGACAATAAAGAATTCAAATAGCAGTAAATTCTCTGGACATCAGTGTTTCTCAGAATTGGACATGATTTAGTTGTTCCCTGAGAAGAGGTTATTAGCATAAATCAGACTCAGAAGCACACCGACAGCTGATCTCTGAACACGTGTAAACCCTGCTGTGCTGCTTTCTTCCATCCCTGCCTGTGGCCCAGTCCATGCTGGCTCTGTGTGTCTCTCCATTCAGAATAAGGGTGGCTTCTCACAGAGCAGGGAACTCCTCGTGTTTTGCTACTGCCTTGCCAAGGGCTCAGAGTTGCTGGTTATGGTTTTGTTTGTCTTCCTGCAAACCCAGCGTGGCTGAAACGCCTGGAACCTTGTATTCATGAGGATCTCTGGATAACTATTGTTTCCACTGACTTTTTCTTCCCCCCTCAATTTATAAAGCACCCTGTCAAAGTCCAGAGATTGATTTGTAGTGCACACCCACCCTCTCTGCCACATTTATATGAGGCTCCAAAAGAGTGTTATTGTGCTGAATGGCCTCATGCTGGTTTTCTCAGAACAGTTATTCTTTTGTCAGGAGGCCAGCTACAGAGACCTTGGCAAAACTACCAAAATGTTTGTTTACAAGAAACCATCAAACAATCCTTGAATAGCTTCTCCCCTCCCCTCATCCTGCCCTTCTCCCCCACTTCCCAGCCTTTCTTCAAGCTTTGGAGTTGCACACTCGTATCTACACACAGCAGTTATGATGGGTGTGGATTTGTTTCCCTGTTCTGATTTTTGTCCCTTTTTTTTGCTTTTTTACTGAAGGTGTCAGTATGGATGGCAAGGCCAGTACTGTGATAAGTGCATTCCACACCCGGGATGTGTCCATGGCACTTGCATTGAACCATGGCAGTGCCTCTGTGAAACCAACTGGGGTGGTCAGCTCTGTGACAAAGGTATGCTAATCCCAGAGGGCTGTGTCACACTGGGATGTCAGCGCTGGCACACCGTGCCCCCGGGGAGTGCACCGGGGCTCAGTGGGCTGCTGAAACGTGCTGGCCCTCAGCTGCCTGCCCTGATCCCCACTGCTGTTCCAGCATGGTTAGCATCTGTCCTTAGCTTGTCGCTGTCCTGTCCCACTCCTCTGTGGGCACGCATTCTGTAAAGGCTCTGGGATAGCAGAACAAAGCACGTGGTGTATAGGTCATGTTCCTGTAACCTTCCAGCCTGGCTTTAACGCTCCTCTCCTCTTGCAGATCTGAACTACTGTGGGACCCACCCGCCCTGCTTGAATGGTGGTACCTGCAGCAACACTGGCCCTGACAAATACCAATGTTCCTGCCCTGAGGGCTACTCAGGACAGAACTGTGAAATTGGTAAGTGTTGGATGGAGCTGCTGAGCTGCCGCCTGACAGTTCATTCTTGCCAGCTTTTGGTGGCTGGTTTTGGATGCACTGTATGAGATGGAGGAAAACTCAATTTGTAGCATACCCAGTCAGGGCTAGGTACAAAGATGCAGCCTTTCCTATTCTCATGCTTTGTCATGAACGTTTGGTGTCTCTGGACATCTGCTCACTGGAGAGGTCACTGTGAGCCACCCTGCTGGCTGTGGCTCCAGCAGGTGCCAGTCGGTGGCTGATGAGCTTAGCATGGAAAGAGACTGTCTGCGAGCCAGGAAATTCCTGGTTCTTGCCGGAGCACGGTGCAGCAGGAGTGCTGATGGCGTGTCCAGAGCAAAAGCATGTGGAGGGAGCAGGGGTGGCTTGTGGTGGCATTGCTGTAGCCTCTGCCATGGTGTCCTTCTGTCCCTGTGCAGCGGAGCATGCCTGCCTCTCCGACCCTTGTCACAACGGGGGAAGCTGCCTCGAGACATCCACGGGATTTGAATGTGTGTGTGCTCCTGGCTGGGCTGGACCAACTTGCACCGATAGTGAGTCCTTTTCAGTGTTTATTACAAATGTGCCAGTTTGCTGGTTTTGATCAGTCTTTCTAATCCCTCATAACCTTACAGGGCA